TCCCCTCCTCGTCACACGGCGTCACAAAAAGTCAGACCGCCCCCCCCTCAAATATGACGTCACAAAGCTCTGCCCCCCCCACCCAAATATAAAACATGCTTCAAATCGCTTTAAACTATTGTCATTGTAGTGCGTATTTAATGTGGCGCTGCAATCGGATGTTGTAGGAGAAAACATGTATTTAAAAAGTCTATTTAATTAAGTAGAACGTGTTGTCTATACTTATTTAAAGTTGCGCATTTTGATGTGACGTCACATTTCTCAACCTCCCCCCCCCTCGTCACACATCGTCACAAATGTCTGACCCCCCCCCCCCCCTAGGTGCGTGACGTCATTTATGGACAGCCCCTTATCACACCTCATCACTCGTCGACCACACACCTCATCATTCCACCAAGACACACATTGGGTTGCCGATCATAAGATAAACACATTCCTGCGGAGGGAGCTGGTAGGAACGTTGGGTTGCTCGGTCAATGGCCAGGGTCAACGGCGGCGTGGTGTATTCCGCAAAAATGCGCGACTGTGAGGGCGGGCACAAGCCGGCGTGAGTAGGTTAAACGTTGAGTTTTATAAGGGCACCACGGGGTGACCAGCCCCTCCCCACCCAGCCCCCCCCCCCACCCAGCCCCTCCCCACCCTCCTCTCCCCACCCAGCCCCTCCCTCCCCACCCAGCCCCTCCCTGCACGACGGACGGACGGACACAATAATCCCCTGTGGGCTGGTGTAACCAGGAGGTTCCTACCAGTACTAGGCGTATTTAAATCATCCATATCTTGAATTCGTTAGTTCCTCAATCCACTTATCCTCGCGAGGGTCCATATACATGTTAAAGTTTTATTATTTTTGTGCAAATATTACCCAATCTTTTGGTTCCAATTGTGCGGTCGTGAGATGATGAATCCATTTGGAAACCTCACAGAGCGGCGCAAAATTCCCTCCGTGTTAGCGAACGGGACCACGGAGGAAGTAGAATTTCACAGAGCTACGTCTGAGATTCCTTCATGTGACCTCTGCATCTACACACAACACAGTGGAGGGCCACCACTTTCCTTGATTTAAAGCTTTCGTGACTGCAGGAATCCATACTCTTTGGTTCTGTCGGTAAAGTCACGTAGAAAATTAATAATAGATCACGACGTTTCGATCGTCACACAATCGATCGCTACGCGACTTTACCGAAAACAACAAATAGTATATTGAACGTGGTTCTTTTTGTGTTTGTGTGTGCAGCCATTGGTGGTGGGAGCGGTAGTGTAGTGGTTAGCGTGCTGCGCTACGAACCAGACGACCCGAGTTCGATTTCCGCTCACGACAAAACACCAGTGACGATTATCTGAACCGGTCGTGGGCCTCCCCTAGGTCGACTCAGCCTCAAATGAGTACCTGGTGCGGTGTGTAAACATCGCCACTTGGAGAGATAAAGACGGTCGGGCGTGGTGCTGGCCCACCCCGCTCGTGTGCCGTGCCGGCCTTCATAGGTGCTCGCTAACAGCACTTGCCCCAACAGTTTGTCAAGGCTATACGGGGGATCTTTGTCTGTGTCTTTGTTTGGTGACTGGGCTTAGACCACCAACTCACGACACGTTGAGAACCCCGGCTTAATGACACGGACCTCTGAACCACGCGGCTACCTCAAGTTGAAAGAAACATAACATTTCTCAAAAAGATGCTGTGTTTTTCATTGCAATCGTGCAATGGATGTTTTGAAACCCTCACTTGTAGTTAATATCCATTTATAACCGGTCTGTGATTGGACGGAATCCATCACATGTATTTTTAAGGTTAGAGGTTAAGCAACATGGTTAAGTGTTCAGGATAATGGTTACAGCTTAGCAGCTAGAGTTGAAGTTTAGGGTTTAGGGGATAGGGACGAGAGTTTAGGGTTAGCGGTTACAGTTTAGGGTTAGAGGTTTGGGTTTAGGGTGGTTTAGGGGCTGGGGTTTATAGTTGGGATGAGAGGTTATTTGAGTGTTGAACTTATTTTGCACCGAACGTAGCCAACCGTGATAATTGGGAAGGGCAGCAAACTGAACACAAAAATCAGTTTTAAAGAAATGGGTTTTCAATTTCGATTTAAAGCTTTCGTGACTGCAGGGATTCATCTTCTTGGTTCTTTCGGTAAAGTCACGTAGAAGGAAAATAATAAAATAATACGTTTTATTTTTATTATCTTCCTTCTACGTGACTTTACCGAAAGAACCAAGAAGATGGGTTTTCAATGTCGACTTAAAAGTGCATAGCTCCAAGTGGCTTCCGTATATCAGAAGAGGTTAAGGAGGTTAGGAGATAGTGTTGAGGTTTCGAATGTGGAACGTGAACTCTGAAGCCAGCTTTTATAGCCTTACCCGAATGTTGTCCCTGTTCTCATAAACGTCCCTTCAAATTTGATCTAAAAGGGAAATCTGTGAATGTGTGTCTGTTCAAAATGTTTAACGTACTTCCCGATATGCAACAAACTTGAAATTTGCCATGTAGGTACTTTCCAGACTGTACACCATGCAAACATTATAAAAAATTACTTTTGTATTTTTTTGGGGGGGGGGGGGGGGGGCGCAATAATGCTTATATTTTGCACGGCAAGTGAGCTGTGACGTCACATCTGTCATGTGACCCGTATGCGGACACGTAACGGAGTGTGCCTGCTCATGTTCCTCCGCGGTTAAAGTGCCATACAAATGTGTTGCAGGTCTCAGGCGTTCTTCGCGCAGCATTGCTGCTTTATTATTTCAGTCGTTTACTGCCGTACGCACCCTGAAAGTTGTGTGTGTCTGCAGCAAGCGCGTGTATGTGTACCTATGGACGCGCGCACGTGTGTGTGGGGGGAGCGGTGGTGTAGTGGTTAGCGCGCTGTCTGTGTGTGTGGGGGGAGCGGTGGTGTAGTGGTTAGTGCGCTGTCTGTCTGTGTGGGGGGAGCGGTAGTGTAGTGGTTAGCGCGCTGTCTGTGTAGGGAGAGCGGTGGTGTAGTGGTTAGCGCGCTGTCTGTCTGTGTGGGGGGAGCGGTGGTGTAGTGGTTAGCGCGCTGTCTGTGTAGGGAGAGCGGTGGTGTAGTGGTTAGCGCGCTGTTTGTGTGGGGGGAGCGGTGGTGTAGTGGTTAGCGCGCTGTCTGTGTGTGTGGGGGGAGCGGTGGTGTAGTGGTTAGCGCGCTGTCTGTCTGTGTGGGGGGAGCGGTGGTGTAGTGGTTAGCGCGCTGTCTGTCTGTGTGGGGGGAGCGGTGGTGTAGTGGTTAGCGCGCTGTCTGTGTAGGGAGAGCGGTGGTGTAGTGGTTAGCGCGCTGTCTGTGTGGGGGGAGCGGTGGTGTAGTGGTTAGCGCGCTGTCTGTGTGGGGGGAGCGGTGGTGTAGTGGTTAGCGCGCTGTCTGTGTGGGGGGAGCGGTGGTGTAGTGGTTAGCGCGCTGTCTGTGTGGGGGGAGCGGTGGTGTAGTGGTTAGCGCGCTGTCTGTGTGGGGAGAGCGGTGGTGTAGTGGTTAGCGCGCTGTCTGTCTGTGTGGGGGGGAGCGGTGGTGTAGTGGTTAGCGCGCTGTCTGTGTGGGGGGAGCGGTGGTGTAGTGGTTAGCGCGCTGTCTGTGTGGGGAGAGCGGTGGTGTAGTGGTTAGTGCACTGTCTGTGTGGGGGGGGCGGTGGTGTAGTGGTTAGCGCGCTGTCTGTGTGGGGGGAGCGGTGGTGTAGTGGTTAGCGCGCTGTCTGTGTGGGGGGAGCGGTGGTGTAGTGGTTAGTGCACTGTCTGTGTGTGGGGGGAGCGGTGGTGGAGTGGTTAGTGCGCTGTCTGTGTGTGGGGAGAGCGGTGGTGTAGTGGTTAGCGCGCTGTCTGTGTGGGGAGAGCGGTGGTGTAGTGGTTAGCGTGCTGTCTGTGTGGAGGGAGCGGTGGTGTAGTGGTTAGCGCGCTGTCTGTGTGGGGGGAGCGGTGGTGTAGTGGTTAGCGCGCTGTCTGTGTGGGGAGAGCGGTGGTGTAGTGGTTAGCGCGCTGTCTGTGTGGGGAGAGCGGTAGTGTAGTGGTTAGCGCGCTGTCTGTCTGTGTGGGGGGAGCGGTGGTGTAGTGGTTAGCGCGCTGTCTGTGTGGGGGGAGCGGTGGTGTAGTGGTTAGCGCGCTGTCTGTGTGGGGGGAGCGGTAGTGTAGTGGTTAGCGCGCTGTCTGTGTGGGGAGAGCGGTGGTGTAGTGGTTAGCGTGCTGTCTGTGTGGGGGGAGCGGTGGTGTAGTGGTTAGCGCGCTGTCTGTGTGGGGGGAGCGGTGGTGTAGTGGTTAGCGCGCTGTCTGTGTAGGGAGAGCGGTGGTGTAGTGGTTAGCGCGCTGTCTGTGTGGGGGGGGAGCGGTAGTGTAGTGGTTAGCGCGCTGTCTGTGTGGGGAGAGCGGTGGTGTAGTGGTTAGCGCGCTGTCTGTCTGTGTGTGTGGGGGGAGCGGTGGTGTAGTGGTTAGCGCGCTGTCTGTCTGGGGGGAGCGGTAGTGTAGTGGTTAGCGCGCTGTCTGTCTGTGTGTGTGGGGGGAGCGGTGGTGTAGTGGTTAGCGCGCTGTCTGTCTGTGTGGGGGGAGCGGTGGTGTAGTGGTTAGCGCGCTGTCTGTGTGTGGGGGGAGCGGTGGTGTAGTGGTTAGTGCGCTGTCTGTGTGGGGGGAGCGGTGGTGGAGTGGTTAGTGCGCTGTCTGTGTGTGGGGGGAGCGGTGGTGTAGTGGTTAGCGCGCTACGCTTCGAACCCGGCGACCCGAGTTCGATTCCCGCTCACGCTCACCACCGGTGACGATTATTTGAACCGGTCCTGGGCCTCCCCTAGGTGGACTCAGCCTCGAACGAGTAACTGGTGTGGTGGTGTGTGAACATCGCCACTGGGGGAGACAAAGGCGGCCGGGCGTGGTGAATCCAAGTCCCGGGTAATAAAGCTACTTTGATATAAACGGCACTCATTCGGATATGAGAGTGGGTAATGGAAAGTGGTAACAGGGCAGAGTTGGTCATCACCACGAGGTTGCAAAGAGGCAGGCGACGGTGAACAAAAAACATCCGCGTGGATAAAACTATTTTTGTTTATTTCATTAAAACAAAATATCGATTTAGCGTATCTCTAAATATAAGTATATCTAAATATCACTCTGCACTCTTTGTCCTCTGTAAAGACGCCGTCCCTCTTCACGTAACAATCAAAGCTCTTTGACGGATGACAAGACGACGACAAAAACGTTGACGCAATCACGGGACACGGTAAACGTCACCATGACAACAAAATAGCCCCCCACTCCACTAATGTTCACATCCGTGGCAACATCCGCGAAAACAAATTATCTGCCGCACATCTTCGCACTGAAATCTTGACGCACAGACACAACAACAACAATACCGATGGGGGGGGGGGGATGGGGGGGTGAGCGCAACGCACAACAAATTAAGCCCCCCACCACCACCACCACGAAAATCACAACAACACACACACGCACGAAGAGAGGGCACCGCGTGCGAATCCGCAAACGCACGTTACACACAACGTTACACACAATTTTACACAAAACGTTACACACAATTGCAACCTCCCAGCTCTTCCGCTATTTCCCTGAAGGTGACCCCCCCCAACACCACTAACCATGACCACCTTCCTCACATTTTCTTTGTTTCCAGTAAACAGTGGCGGTATTCGCCATCGTGTAAAGGCAGGGGTGGGGTGGGGGGCAGAATAGCACTTTCCAATACCTTTGGCGGGGTTAGGGGCCGTCCATAAATGACGTCACGCGATTTTGGACGATTTTTGACTCCCCCCCCCCCCCCTTCGTCACACGGCGTCACAAAAAATCAGACCCCCCCCCCCTACTCAAATATGACGTCACAAAGCTCTGCCCCCCCCCCCCCCAAAATAAAACATGCTTCAAATCGCTTTAAATTATTGTCATTGTAGTGCGGATTTAATGTGCCGCTGCACTCTGATGTTGTAGGAGAAAACATTTATTAAAACGACTATTTAATTAAGTAGAACGTGTTGTCTATATTTATTTAAAGTTGCAGTATTTTGATGTGACGTCACATTTCTCACCCCCCCCCCCCCTCGTCACAAATGTCTGACCCCCCCCCCCCCATAGGTGCGTGACGTCATTTATGGACGGACGTGGAGGAGGGAGGGGGGGAGCATTAACACACCCGTCTCAGTCGCTTCAGTCACTGCAAGAGTGAAGGCCGAGGGAAATAAAATTAGCTACACGGTGTTGTTGCCGTGTCGAACATATAAATATATCCCCCTTCTGCTTCTCGGGGACGTGTTTTCGGGTTGCATTGTTACAACAAAGACAAAGATAGCCCCCCTCACCCACCCACGCCCCTCCTTCAATCCTCAACAGACAAATTGCCGTGAACGTACGCAAACCTAAACACAACGACGGCGTTAACCGCGAAATTCCACTCTCTCTCGCTGGCATTGCCCTTTGGTGCCAAATCAGCGGCGTCAGGATGCTCGCTTCTCGGCAGAGGTCGCAACCGGGTACCCGATACCCGCACCCTACCCGATACCCGGCTACCGGGTACCCGTCTGCGACCCTGGTGCGGCCGGGTACGGGTACGGGTAGGCCGTGAGTCACTGGTGAGTAACTGTTTGTCACTCATTTCCCAACGTCTTGTCTCTTCTCACAATTCAAGTTCCTAGAATGAACCCACCAGCGCCTGCAACATGGCTTCATCCCAGAGGTCGCAATCAGGTACCCGATACCCGTACCCTACCCGTACCCGGCCGGGTACGGCCGGGTACGGCCGGGTACGGGTACCCGTTTGCGACCCTGGTGCGGCCAGGTACGGGTAAGGTATCAACACCCGTTTGCGACCTCTGCTTCTCGGCTCCGCGTGGCCACGGGGAAAAAATCGTGAAATGAAGTCACCCGCTCACGTCTGGCCCAAGGCACCACGAAAGTCTCCCAAACCCCGTGAACCCCCTGCGCTACCCGCCTCCCCCCCCGGTTGGAACACGACCACCGTACATTCCCGCATTAGGCACGGAGGCACTATCCCCATCATCCTGGGCAACCCCAACGACCGTCGGCCGTGTCCGCCGTCAACGCGACAGCTTCTGTGCAAAAAAGTTCGGTGGCGTTTCACCACGAGACACCGCAGTAGAATTCCACAAAGTCGACCTTTGGCGACACCGATATCTCTCTCCCTCCCGGGCAGTTCTCGGAAACGTTCCCGGCACGTGTCTTTGACACACGCGCGTGGCATTCGCGAGCTTCTCGCGTGAGATTAAATTAAAATTGTGAAAGTGAATTGTACTGAATGGGTTGTGAGGCAGAGAGACAGAGAGAGGTAGGGAGGGACTCTTGTACACGTGTACATGCACAGCCCTCTATTGTCAATCCATAGATCGACGATTACATCCCCATGTGAGAACAGGTTTTCCCCTTTTTTCTGGCAACAAAACAGCTGTGTTAAGATGTTAAATCACCAAACTGAAACCTTTTACAAGGAATCATGTCTGCATTGACCACAATGCTTGTGATCAGAATGCAAACAAAAAAAACATACTCTGATAATATATGCATTCTCTTTGGTTCTTTCGGTAAAGTCGCGTAAGTATAAAATAAAATAAATAAAATCACGACGTTTCAATTGCAACACAAGCAATCGTCATCAGGTGGGAAAACCACAGCAATATATTTTTTTTCTTGGCTTCTCTCTCCCACTTCAACAAAAACATTTTCTTTCTGTGGGTTTCCCACCTGATGATGATTGCTTGTGCTGCAATCGAAACGTCGTGATTTTATTTATTATATTTTATACCTACGTGACTTTACCGAAAGAACCAACGAGTATGGATCCCTGCAGTCACGAAAACTTCAAATCTAGAATATATGCATTGTCTTTGAAACTGATTGGTACTGGCAAAGGAGGTCCCAAGAAACATCCCCATACTTCACCATACCGGTTAATGTGTGTTACATATACGCGGTGGGATAGAACCACCGGTACAGCGATGGCTTTTGCTGCCTTGCCCTCCGTTGTCCACAATGTAGTCCTGCAGCTGCCTACAACATCCGGGCGTGTGTGCGCACGTGCGCGTGTGTGTGCACGGCCGTCTGAGCGAGCGCTATCCAGGCTCCAGCCTTGCTTAGCTCCCGACGCCTGACAACATCGGGGCCCACTCGAGGTGATTTGGTCAAGGGCGAGAGCGACTCCTGCAGCGAACTCGTCAGATTTCTACACCCGTTTAAGATTTACACGCAGCTTCATCAATAGACTGTACATTCATACAAACCCAGGGAGAGACACTTAACTCGTAATCAAACGCACAGCAGCAAAACGGATGGCGGGAGGGGGGGCGGTGGGTGGGGGAGGAATCATGCACCCCCCCCCCACCACACCCCCCTCTCACCCCCTTCTACCCCCCTTATAGGGGAACACGCGGCGCACGTGAACGAACACTTGAATACGCGCGTGCGCGCGCACGCGAAACGAACGGGAGAATGCAAGCGCAACGGACGCGTGCGCAGCTCTGTGAGCGCGCGCGCAAAAAACAACCGGCGAGTCACGAGCGAACGAAGCGTGCCCTCTCCTCCCCCACGTACCCCTGCGTGCTGCCCACCCCGACCCGGACCCCCACCCCCACCCCGGCTGACGCCAGCAGCAGCGCTCGCAGCTGCTCGGGCGGGAGGTAGCCCTTGTGCGCATCCCCGTTGCCCTTGACGACGTCCGTGCGCGCGTCCAGGAACAGGCGCTGGTGAGCGTCCACCGCGTGGACCGCCGTGTAGTCCGGCACCGGGGGCGGCGAGTCCGGCGAGCGGAGGGGGGCCCTGTCTGATGAGTTGTGGGGGGCAGGCGGCGGCGGGAGGGATGTCGCGTCGTCCCGGTCGTCGTCGTCGTCGTCGTCATGGGGAGAGGAGGCACCGGCGGTGGCGGTGGCGTCGCGCTCATCGTGGGGATCGGAGCGACGGGACGAGCCTTCCGCTCGGTGGCTCTGGGGAGGAGGAGATGGCGGAGAAGGTGGCAGCACGTGCGTGGCTATCATCGGGTCCAGGCGGGCGGGCGGCGTGGTGGTAATCGCCAGAGCGGGGGGCTGGAGAACAAACGGCGGAGGCTGAGAATCCCCCGCGCCCGTCGGCAACACCGTCACGTCTCTCCCGCGGTTCGCGGACGACTCGGCGCTTTCTTTGGGACCGGCGGATTCGCCGGCGTGGGCCGCAGGGGCGGCCGGGCGCGCCGCCGCCGCCGCCGCCGGTCGTAGGGCTTGGGCGGCGGGAGAGGCCAGGCACACCGTGCCGTCGGGGCTCACGTCCCACACCTGCGTGTAACACTCTCCAGGCAGCGTGGCAGCCGGACGTATCGCCTCGGAGCCACCGCCACCACCACCGTGTTTTTGCCGATCGTCGTCACCGCCGGCGTCGGGCGTAGATTTGGCAGAATTTTCGGGGAGATCGCCGTGAAAGTAGCCGAGAAGATCCGGTTCGATGGTGGCCGCCGCGGCGGCCGCGGCCTCGCCGGGCCACACGGGGCGACCATGCGTCGGTGTCGCCGGCCCGGTCGACCGCCACCCCCCCTTGACCTTTGCGAGGAGGGTGTCACGCTCGCAGGTGACCTCCGTGACCTCCAGCCAGGGGTCGTCGTGCATCACCGGCGACACGAAGCCGTGGAAGGAGCTGATCATGCGGTTGAACTCCTCCACCGGACCCTTCTGTGTGAACACACATGCACAGTCCGCGTACGGAGTTTGGTTTACATCATTCCAATGCCCTTTAGTGTCGTGAGAAAAGCTGCAGTAGTGCTGTATACATGCACTAGCTGTACTACCCGGCTTCGCCCGGGACTTGTATCTACCACGGCCGGCCGCCTTTGTCTCCCCAGTGGCGATGTTAATACGCTACAGTAGTTAAGTTACTCGTTTGAGGCAGAGTCGACCTAGGGGAGGTTCAAATAATCGTCACCGGTGGTGGCCGTGAGCGGGAATCGAACTGGGTTTGCCGGGTTGGTAGCGCAGCGTAGCGTTAAGCACTACACCCACCGCTCCTCACACACCACACACGCACAGACACACACACAGACACACACACAGACACACGCAGACACACACAGACAGAAACACACACACAGACAGCACGCTAACCACTACACTACCGCTCCCCACACACCACACACGCACACACACAGACACACACACAGACACACACACAGACACACACACACAGACACACACACACAGACACAGGCAGCACGCTAAGCACTACACTACCGTTCCCCCTACACAACACACGCGCGCGCGTCCATTGCTGCAGACACACACGACTTTCAGGGTGCATACGGCAGTAAACGACTGAAATAATAAAGCGGCAATGCTGTGTAAGGAACGCCTTAGACCCGCATTATACATTTGTGTAATGCGAGCGTAAACACACAAACACACACAAACACATACACAATACACACACACATACATGCAGACACACAGACACACACATAACACACATACATACACACACATACAAACACAGAAACACATACACACACATACATAGACACACACATACATACACACAAACACATCCACAGACGTACATACACACATACATACAGGCACGCAGACATACACATAAACACATACAAAAAACCCACATACATACACACACACATACATACACACAAACACATGCACACACATACATACACACATGCATACAGACACACAGACATACACATAAACACATACACACATACACATGACCCGGCTTCGCCCGGGACTTGGATCCACCACGGCGGCAAAACCGACATACATACACACACAGACATACACACAAACACATACACACACATACATACACACATGCATACAGACACACAGACATACACATAAACACATACACATGACCCGGCTTCGCCCGGGACTTGGATCCACCACGGCGGCAAAACCGACATACATACACACACAGACATACACACAAACACATACACACACATACATACACACATGCATACAGACACACAGACATACACATAAACACATACACATGACCCGGCTTCGCCCGGGACTTGGATCTACCACGCCCAGCCGCCTTTGTCTCCCAAGTGCCGATGTTAATACGCCACACCAGTTACTCGTTTGAGGTTGAGTGGACCTAGGGGAGGTTCAAATAATCGTCACCGGTGGTGGCCGTGAGCGGGAATGGAACTGGGTTCGCCGGGTTGGTAGCGCAGCGTAGCGTTAAGCACTACACCCACCGCTCCTCACACACCACACACGCACAGACACACACACAGACACACGCAGACACACACAGACAGACACAGACAGACACACACACACACAGACACACAGACAGCACGCTAAGCACTACACTACCGCTCCCCACACACCACACACGCACACACACAGACACACACACAGACACACGCAGACACACACAGACAGACACAGACAGACACACACACACACAGACACAGACAGCACGCTAAGCACTACACTACCGTTCCCCCTACACAACACACGCGCGCGCGTCCATAGGTACACATACACGCGCTTGCTGCAGACACACACGACTTTCAGGGTGCGTAAGGCAGTAAACGACTGAAATAATAAAGCGGCAATGCTGTGCGAGGAACGCCTTAGACCAGCAACACATTTGTGTAATGCGAGCGTAAACACACAAACACATACAAACACATACACACACATACATACACACACATACACACAAACACATACACACAGACATACACATACACACAAACACACACATACATGCACACAAACACATACACAATACACACACACATACATGCAGACACAGACAGACACATAACACACATACATACACACACATACACACACATACATAGACACACACATACATAGACACACACATACATACACACAAACACATGCACACACGTACATACACACATACATAGAGACACGCAGACATACACATAAAGACATAAAAAAAACCCACATACATACAGACACACATACACACAAACACATACATACACATACATACACACATACATAGAGACACACAGACATACACATAAACACAAACACACATACACATGACCCGGCTTCGCCCGGGACTTGAATCCACGATGCCCCGCCGCCTTTGTCTCCCCAGTGACGATGTTCACACACGACAGCAGTTACGCTTTTGAGGCTGAGTGGACCTAGGGGAGGGCCAGGTCCATTTCAAATAATCGTCAGCGGTGGTGGGCGTGAGTTGGAATCGAACTGGGGTCGCTCAAGCAGCTTAATGACTGTTTGTACAAAGAACATATAAAGAATCGATTATAATAACCAGGCAAGAGTCCACATTATAGACTGCCAGTACACGCACTCAGCTTCATAAGCAGGCTAGAGTGTACATGATAGAGTGGCAGTACGCTCACCCAGCTTAATAAGCAGGCTACAGTGTACATGATAGACTGGCAGTACGCTCACCCAGCTTAATGAGTATTTGTACAGTGAACATTAAAGTAATCGATTGTTGGCGCGTTGGGTTTAAAAGTAATATTAATAGCACACATTGTGGTAGGGGTGTAGTGAAGAGTAGGAAAAACTTTGATGAATTTACCTCAGAGTGGCGTGGTGGGTGTCGAGGCCTAGTAGCGTGCAAAGCCTGCGGCCTCGCCTAAAATTGTCGGCTTGGAAGAGGCAGGGTACGGGTGGCGTTCCTCCCCCCCCCCCTAGCGCTCCAACAATACTGTGTAATGGCTATTATTTAATTAAATACGGAGCTTATGAAAGTGGCGAAGGCGTGGCTAGCCGTTGGCAGGGGCAACCGCCGTCCAATGAAACTGCAGCCCTTGGCGAAGGCGTGGCTAGCCGTTGCCAGGTCCAATGAAAGCGGCGAAGGCGTGGCTAGCCGTTGCCAGGGGCAACCGCCGTCCAATGAAAGTGCGTATGGGCCAAAGTCCACACACACACACACAGACAGACAGACATGAACGATTTTATATATATAGATACATTAATCATAAAAAAAAATTTTATTGTGACTAAAGTTATTGAAATATTTTTAAAATGTACGTTATTATTTTAAGTCGATTGTCTTTTTACAATCGCGTCTCCTCGCTGATTAAATGTTTGGAGATTACTGGGCGACGCTGCGAAAGGTAGGGGAGGGGGGTGGAGGGGGCCACGGTAGAAATGTTTACGATAAGATATTCATACTCAGGACGAGGATTTCAGCACAAATCTTACTACGTCACACCTCATCTCAATCATTTCAACGACCCGCTGTGGTCTCGCTAAGGGGCCCCCTAGTGGCATGTGTCTCTCCGTACTGCAAAATGTCAGCAGCGCCAACCTGCATGGACATTAGTTCACCAGTAGGGGGTGATGTTGCTCTGTAGCATCCCCCCCCACCACCCCGCCCAGTGAAGTAACTCGTTGAGTACTGCACTGTATATTTTTATTTTTCAAATTTGGCAGATTTTTTACCACGACGCCAGCACATGTGGCCTCCTCATTTTCGGTTACCGTCGTAAGATATCTTTAGCGTCCACAAGCAAATATTTATGGTTGTTACAAGTCGCTTCATTCACCAGGGCGGCCGCCGAATGTGAACCTCGAACCGCTAAGCCGCGTCACCGCCCCCCCCGAAGACAACGACACTCGTCGCGATATCAACTTTGTGAACGCATTTGACATTTTCATTGCGTCGTTTGCGATTTTGCCGAGATGAATACCGCGCCGTTCGCTCGACACTAAGCACCCACCCCCGTGTGCACAAATCATCGCAACATTACAAACCAGCAGTGCTTATGAGCGCAGAGAACTACGTTGTCAGTTACCCGACAAGCATTACAGGTAACTATACAAACCACGAAGATCACGGCGACAAATACTTTTGACAAAAAACCTTTTGAAAATCTCCCAGTGTAACGGTTAATAGCTGTATTTTTCAACGCACGATTTTTATAGCAATTTGCAAAAGCGGCCAAAGATACGATTACTGTGGGCCTTTTGTCGGGCTATAGATGGTGCCAGTTTAAAATGTTCGTTTTGCGCCACTGCCATGCATCCACCGTCTGCCTCGTCCAAACCCCTTGCAAACGAGAGACCGTTCCATCCCCAGGGATTATCCCCCGAGAAATATTTTAATCACACGAAAATGATCACGGCACCCACAGTGCGGGCAGTCCCCGCTTAGCACCCAGCCCACGCGTGCGCCGGGGTGTGGACGAGGTGTGGAGGAGGTGCGGGTGGAGGGGCAGAGGTGTGTGAGTGTGCGTGTGGCACAGCGTGTCTGGGCGTGTGTTGGGTAGGGTAGGGGAGGGGGGGCGTGCTCTGAGTCAAGTACCTCCGGCAAGTCTCGGTTGGTGCTTGTGTGAGTGGCCTGTATGTGTGTGGCATGTGTGTGTGTGTGTGGCCTGTGTGTGTGTGGCCTGTGTGTGTGTGACTTGTGTGTTACAGAGGAGTGGTTCGTTTAGCAGTTAGTGCGCTGCACTACGAACCCGGTGACCGGGATTCTTCAATTCCCGCTCACTGTCACCAACACCAGTGACGATTATATGAACTGGTCCTCCCCTAGACAGATTCAGCCTTAAATGAGTACCTGTGCGATATGTAAACATGGCCACTGGGGAGACAAAGGCGGTCGGGTGTAGTGCTGGCCGCCCACCTCCTCGTGTGCCGTTCCAGCCTTCATAGGCGCCCGTTAATAGCAATTGCCCCAACAGTCTGTTAAGGCTACACGTGGGATCTTTGTCTTGTAAGTGGAGTGTGTGTGCGATTTTGAAAGAGGGGGTGTGAGTCAATGCGTGTATGAGGGGGTGGACGGCAAGCATGTGTGGTTATGTGTGTGCTTCTATTTGTATGGGCGGGTATATATTAATGTGGGAGTGGGCAGTGTGTTATATAAGTCGGCCACGCACATTAATGTATGCAGAATGTGCGTATGTGAGCGGTGTCGCAGCAGTCAGCGGACTGCGCTACCAACCCGGCCCTACCCAAGTTCGATTCCAGCTCGCGGCCAACATCGGTGACGAATTTCTAAACAAGCCCTGGGCCCCCCGAAGTTCGACTCATCCTTAAATGCTTGCCCGGTGCTGGCGGGTAATCATCAGCACTGGGGAGACAAAGGCGGCCGGGCAGGAGTGGCGCTGGTCACGCACCACCGTGACTTTGTGCACCGCGTTGGAATAGCGCTTGCCCCAAACAGTCTACACGACTTGGGTGGGGGGGGGGGCGGCGAATTTTTGCCTTTGTGTGTGCGAGTAAAGTGGCGTGTTCCAGTCAAGTACCTTGAGCATATCTGGGTCGATGCCGCGGATGCGGGGGCTGGGCACCGGAGGGAACAGCCACTTGGCCATCCTGACATTCACGGAGAGGCAACGAAGTAGAGTCAGCGAGATGCACACGTGAGGGGGGGCGGGGGGGGGGGTGGGTCACGTGACAGGACAGGCAGTTTCCATTCGTCCCATTTGTGTCCCTCCACACACAAATAACAAAAATAGAAATGTAATATAAATAAATATTTGCGCGTTGTGTTTTTTTGCACATAACATCAGCTGCACGCAGCCTTCTGGAGGAGCGATTTTTTTAATATTTTGTCAGCAGTTAAATCAGGTGTAATGCAAGACAACTCCGGAGAGGGGGGGGGGGGGGGGGGCGGTTTCAGTGTCTCATCAGCAAGAGTCGGGGCTTGTTGACACCGATGCTGGTGAACGGCCCAGAGATGTCGACAGGAAAGGAAATGTGGCGTGAATGTACTTTGATGTAACTCAAGTTTTTTGTAACTGGTTTCTGAAACGTAATTTTCCCACGATTCATTTGTTTAAGTCATGCGTCACAGTTAACTTTTGTTGCTGGAAATCTATTTCAGGAAATATTTGATTATGATTGTGCACTGTTTCCAATTCATCACGTGACAGTTGCTTTTTTAAATCATTTATATTAAGTTCGCTTGCTTGCTTAGGACCGTGCAAATCTTTCGGTCGTTTTTTAACCCACCACTTCCCGTGATCCAATCGAGCTGACATTTTGCACACAGACTCGTAGTGCGTGACAATTAATTTTCGTGAAATTTTTTTTCCAAAATTTTCAACATTTTAGGAAAAAAATAATTAAAATATTTAATTACCAATTGCTTAATGGTGGCCATGCAATCATCTGACCCATAGGTGGCAGCCATCTCAAGCCAGAGGACGAGAGGACTCTAGCCGCCACGCATATAAAGGATTTAGAGTGAAAAACTTTGTTTTTACGGGTTATACTTGTTTCAGATTGATATTTGCTTCATTTGCCGTACCCGGTTTAAATTTGTATCACTTTTGACGACCAGATCACTCTTCACCTCCGGCAAAACGCGACTCCCATCCTGGTTCTCCTGAGCTCTCACCCTGGCTAAACAAAATAAAGTCAAAACTCGCTGCGGCTGTGGGTGCATTGCATAACGTTACGCCTTGCGGACGACAAGTACGCTATGGGAACGGCTTGCCAATCAGACTCTGCTCGTTAACGCTTTCCAACCAACAGTTCTGTCACTTCCAGTAGTCTTAGCCCGGTCGACGACAGCCTGTACAGTTCCAGCCGAGTCTCAGTCTGTGGACGTCTCACGGAATCGCTCCCTCAGTCTATGCGACTGGAGCTGTCGCACATTCAATCGGATTCTGCGTTGGTTGGTACATGTTGTTGTGAGGGGCGCGCAATTCCCCACCACCGCCACGATTTTATCAACTCAGCCAATCGGTGAAGTAAGACGAGCCACAGTGCTGCGATTGTGGCCAAGCAAACCACACTGTGGACCACACAGTAAGCCCATAGAGACTCACGGGAGACACGTAGAGATACAGATTGACACATAGAGATACATTAGAGAGACGAGCCACAGTGCTGCGATTGTGGCCAAGCAAACCACACTGTGGACCACACAGTTAACCCATAGAGACTCACGGGAGACACGTAGAGATACGTAGAGATACATTAAAGACACAAGTGACAGCGCCGCGATTGTGGTCACGCAACCCGAACCATCGACCGCACAGTAAGCCCATAGCGACTCACGGGAGACACGTAGAGATACGTAGAGATACATTAAAGACACAAGTGACAGCGCCGCGATTGTGGTCACGCAACCCGAACCATCGACCGCACAGTAACCCCACTGTGGTCTGTGCCCCTTCAACGGAGCAGGAGGAGGAGGAACAGCAGCACCACACGAACTCTCTCTCTGCTGAAGCCCTCTCGCCGTAGCAGCAGCAACAGCAGCAGGAATCTCGACATTGGCATTGAGCTACTGAATAATATTGCCATTCGCAAGAATAGAATAGTAAATATTTGCCAAGTACATCTATAGCCAATGGACATGTTTGGTCTTCCCCCCGAGCATCGCTGTCTCAAATTTGCGTTACTCAATTATTTACCTCGCTCTGTGTGCTCAATGAGACGCCTCCGTTTGTCTGTTTTGTCACAGTGGTGGCACTTTTGGCCGTGAGGTGGTGATTCTAGTTGTGGTGGTGGTGGAGACGATCATGGTGGTGGTGGCGATGTGATGGTGGTAGTGATATTAGTGGTCAGCTGTAACCTAGTAGTGGTGATTGCAGTCGAATATTTTCGACGCCGATCCCGTTCACAAAATGAACACTGGGGTTCATCTTCTTGGTTCTTTCGGTAAAGTCACGTAGAAGGGAAATAATAAAATAATAAAAATAAAACATAATTAAATAATTCTCACGACGTTTCGGCCACAACGCAAGCTCAGCTGAGGACGGCTGCTTGCGTTGTGGCCGAAACGTTGTGAGAATTATTAAATGTTTTATTTTTATTATTTTATTATTTCCCTTCTACGTGACTTTACCGAAAGAACCAAGAAGATGAATCCCTGCAGTCACGAAAGCTTTCAATCGAACACTGGGGTGTCGTGTGTGACGGCCGCGTCGCGAGCGGCCGCTGCGGTGCGCCGGTAACCGTGTGTGGCAGCGGAGAAGCAGCAGCAGCGTGGCGAGGAGGCAGCAGGAGACCAGCACCCCCAGCACCAGCAGCACCTGCAGCAGGTCCCAGCCCTCTGCGACCAGAGACAACACGGGCACTGTGGGTCAGACGCGAGCTATGGAGCGATCTGTAGCGCGACAGAGGCGTCATCTCGAGCACGCGCAGAGGCGATATGACCAAGTAAGCAGCCCGATAAGAAGTTTTTGGCATCCGAGCTCTTTGTGTCTGTTGACGGATGCTGGGAATTTTCCACGGCAAGGCAGGAGAAGCAATACGGAAGAAATACGGGGCAGGCGAATGTTTGTCTGTGTGATTTAGCAGAAACAGCGGTGGGGCGAGCGTGCAGGATGGGGGCGCGAGGGCTGATTTGCCCAGACAGGCATTGGGGTGGCGGCCTTCCTCGAGTCCAACGACCAAGGGGAAGAGAAGGCCAAAGAGCAGATGGTGGGAGACTGGTCAGGGCAGAACTGTGTGCCCCTCTGAGTCTATGAGTCTCTGCGTGAATCTATGGGTCTCAGAATCAAAATCTTTATTTATCCTGGAGAAATCTTATGAGCTATGAAGTTCTTTATCACAGATGTCCAGTCTCTGTGTGAGTCTATGGGTCTCTGTGTGAGTCTATGGGTCTCTGTGTGAGTCTATGGGTCTCTGTGTGAGTCTATGGGTCTCTGTGTGAGTCTATGGGTCTCTGTGTGAGTCTAGGGTCTCTGCGTGAGTCTATGGGTCTCTGTGTGAGTCTATGGGTCTCTGTGTGAGTCTATGAGTCTCTGTGTGAGTCTATGGGTCTCTGTGTGAGTCTATGGGTCTCGGTGTGAGTCTATGGGTCTCTGTGTGAGTCTATGGGAAGATCTTGGAGGGCGTTTTGAATCATCTGTGTGGCAGCTGCAGGACCTGGAAGACTGGAAAACGCATTGGCGATAGGTTTGGTAAAGCCACGCAGATAGAAAAATAAAAAAATTAGCCGAGTAGGCGGGTGATAGAAAAATATAATATATTTTTTATTTAAAAATAACAAATATTATTTCAAAATAAAAAAAATATTTTTTTATTTTTCTATCTGCGTGGCTTTACCAAAAGACCCAAAGAATATGAATTCCTGCAGTCGCGAAAGCTTTAAGTCAAGGTGTTAAGATGTTACAACACCAAACAAAATTATTATTCAAGGAATCCTGTCTGCATTAACCACACATACTTGTGGCGATCATGCAATAAGCAAAACATTCTCTGATAATACGTGCATTGTCTTTGAAATGATTGTTTGGTGTTTTAACATCTTAACACCTATTGTTATGCCGTGGCCGAACAAGTAGCATGCTTGCCGCTTATTTGCAGAAGTTTGCGGTTCCAGACCCCCGGCCGCCCTGGTTAATACTGCGGATGCGTTAACAGTGACTACAACTACGGCGTCTGCTTCACGCTCGAAGGTAAAGACCCTGCGACGTCGTTCGAAAAAGAGTAAGCCGTGCATTGCGGTGTTACGATCGAAAATATGAAAAATACGAGAGAGAAACGTTTACGCGCAAATGACTCAATCGGGGGAACGCCGCGGCAAAACCATTCGCCCGCCTACTCGGCGATGGCGGCGCCTTCCTTCGCGATCGCCGTGCGCTATGACGATGGCGTGAGTAGCGAGCGTAGTCGTGACGACGGCGGCGACGACCGGTGACAGGCGACGAACGGACGGAGCGGCGGGGGTGGTGGGATCGCGAGAGGAGACGTACTCGTGATCACCAGCAGCGATTCGCTCCACTCGCTCCAGATGCCCAAGTTGCGCGGCTTGCACCGCACCTGCACCTCCAGGGGACGTCCGGGCCGCGGGCGCAGCAGCGTGTGGTGCATGACACTCACGTGCTCTTCTCTCAGCTGCCACAGGTACGCACGGAGGGGGTGGGCACAAAGGCAAAGGTCGCTAATGTAGCCTTATAACGTTAGATTTGAAGCTTTCGTGACTGCAAGGATTCATATTCTTAGGTTTTTTTCGGTAAAGTCACGTAGGTAAAAAATTTACATTAGTAAAATAAAAATAAAATAAAAATCACGACGTTTCGGAGGCAACACTCTCACTTGATACAGCAATCGTGCTGTGACGGTTCCACCTGAAGACGGAAGCTTGTGTTGCCTCCGAAACGTCGTGATTTTTTATTTTATTTTTATTTTACTTTTATTAATGTTAATTTTTTACCTACGTGACTTTACCGAAAAAAATCTAAGAATATGAAGCCTTATAACGGACTAAATTTCGATTCAAAGCTTTCGTGACTGCAGGGATTCATCTTCTTGGTTCTTTCGGTAAAGTCATGTAGAAGGGAAATAATAAAATAATAAAAATAAAACATTATAAAATAATTCTCACGACGTTTCAGCCACAACGCAAGCAGCCGTCCTCAGGCTCATACAGACGCTGTCTTTCCGACAGACGGAAATAATAAAAAAGTAATAAAAAACATCATAAATTGTATTTTATTACGTTTTATTTTTATTATAAATTGTATTTTATTACGTTTTATTTTTATTATTTCATTATTTCCCTTCTACGTGACTTTACCGAAAAAACCAAGAAGATTATAACGGACTGTCGGGGCAAGTGCTGTTAGCTGTGAAGGCTGGCACGGCACACGACAGGGGCGGGTGGCCAGCACCGCGCGTGCGCCCGGCCACCCGTTGCTCCCCGGCGGAGATGTTTCCACATCGGACCGGGTACTCGTTTGAGGCCGAGTCGAGCTAGGTTGGTGGCCCCATGAGCGAGAATCGAACTCGGGCCGCCGGGTTCGTGGAGCGAGCGGCGCCACCGCTCCTCGACGCCAACCGGCACGCGCCTACAAACACGTCCGTTACCACCTCTTCACGACCCGAGCGTTTCCCCCGCCACTTGCTGGAGGCCCGTTGTGACGCGCATTCCGTAGCCACTGCTGCCCCCCCCCCCCCCCCCCGGTGCAGAGCGTTCCTTGTAAACTCGGCAGCGCCAACCTTAGCATTCCTACGGCCGTGCTAAACCATCAACATTGGGTCCAAAAACACGCGAGTGCGCTGCCCAACGTGAGAGCACATATCATCCATGTGACTCACGCGTGTGTGTGCCACAGCGCCAACACACTCCGGCACACCAAGACAAAGATCCCCCGTGTAGCCTTCAACAGATTGTTGGGGCAAGTGTTGTTAGCGAGGAGAGCCTACGACGGCCGGTGGCCAGCACCAGGCCCGACTGCTTTTGTCTCACACCAGCGGCGATGTTTGCACATCACACCAGGTACTCATTTGAGGCTGAGCTGACCTAGGGGAGGTCCAGGCCCGTTTCGGAAAAGTCACTGGTGTTGGCTGTGAGCGGGAATCAAACTCATGTTGCCGGGTTTGTAGCGCAGCGCGCTTACCGTTTCGCCACCGCACCCCACACACAGAGACACATACACACACAAAAACAAAGACACACACACAGAGACACACACACCGAGGCACACATGCAAGCATATTTTACGCTATTCCTGGTCACGCACGTGTGCACCCGCACACATATGCATGCGCACACGCACGCGCGCACACGGGGATGAGCACATCCAGAGAGAGGGCCGGTGCAACGAAGACCGACCGGATTGGTGAGTGTGTGTGCGCGCGTGTCACTCATTCCTCGCCAATAACACTTCACGTTGCTAAGCAACCCATCAACAAGCCGCCCAGACACGCGACACGTCTCACATACGCACTGACGCGCGCGCAAAACACAAACACATAAACACGCACACACAAACACATGCACTTGTAGAAAGACCCACGCACGTACACACTCCCACGCACACCAACACGCATGCACACACACACACATATAAATACAGGCGTGCACCCACACGCACACTCGTACACAAAAACAAGCACGCACGCACGCACACAAACATATGCACTGATAGACACATGCCTGCACACAAAGACAAAGATCCCCCTATAGTCTTAACACACTGTTGGGGCAAGCGCTGTTAGCATGGCACATGAGGGAGTCTGTGGACAGAACCACGCCCGACCGCCTTTGTCTCCCTCTTGGCGATGTTTACACACTGCACCAGGTACTCATTTGAGGCTGAGTCGACCTAGGGGAGGCGCCCAGGTCCAGTTCAGATAATTGTCATTGGTGTTGGCCGTGAGCGGGAGTCAAACTCGGGTCGCCGGGTTCGTAGCGCAGCGTGCCAACTGCAACACAAAGATCCCCCAAATAGCACGAACAGACTGTTGGAGGTGGTGGTGATGATGCAATGCAACGGGACGCACGGGGTTTTATGTTTTCATTTATTAAAACTTTACCAGGTAAGGCCCGCGAAGCTGTACAGCTCAGTAGGCTGGTGTTCGGGCGGAAAGGGGAGCAGCCCCATCATCGGAATTGTCAGCTAATGGGAGACGGTAAAAAGAAAATCAAACGATTTGATCAAATAATAATATCCTAAGGGGTCGATTATGATGGGGGTTTGTTTTCCAGTTGCAAACGTCGTACAATTGAGTGATAACCGTGGTTAATTGCGAGCACGCACACACGCACATGAAGAAATATACAAGCACACAAAAGACAAAGACCCACCCCCCTATAGCCTTGAACAGACTGTTGTGGCAAGTGCTGTTAGCGAGCACCTATGAAGGCCGGCACGGCACACGAGGGGGTGGGTGGCCAGCACCACGCCCGGCCGCCTTTGTCTCCCTCGTGGTGATATTTACACACCGCACCAGGTACTGAAGTCGACCTAGGGGAGGCCCAGAACCGGTTCGGATAATCGAACTCGGGTTGCCGAGTTCGTAGCTCGGCGGGCCAACACTGCTGCTCCCCCCACACACACACGGCCACACAACACAGACTGACACCACCCGCACCCACGCGCCACTTTTCGAGAGCGTCAAACTCCGCAAGAGCGGAATGGGGAAACGATGTTCGGAAATGAAATACAGCGGGGGGGGGGGGGGGGGGGTGGTCGTCGTTAAAACAAGGGTCACGGTGACCGAGTCAGCCACCGCTGTTTTAAATGAGCCAAAGGCCTCGGGAGGCATGGGCTCGTTCTCTGTCTCTCTGTGTCTCTCTCTCGATTCTAATTAAGCGGGAGAGCTGCGAATGAGGGGGGCCAAGGCACGTGCTCGCAAACGTCCTTCGACACAGTGAAACCCTCTCGTTTGTTTGAAATAAATTTTCCCGATTTGCCCGGGGTTTATTTTTTTCGAGGGTGGAGGGAGAGGGGGGAAGATGTCGTTGGAAGGTGCGTTCGGGAAGTCTTCATAATCGGAAACTTTTATTTTTTTCCCGGAGGAATCAGATGAGCCGTGGAGCTTTTTTTTCTCACAGATGTCCAGTCGGGCCAAGGAGGTCAGAGAGCGGCCTGAGGTGAGGAAACAAAAACTTTGTGGGGCAGCCAGGGTTGCGCTTCTGCTGGCCGTCTGGAACGTTCTCCCTTCCGATATTAGGAAGGCACTGGGAGCTATGCACTTTTAAATCATCGGAAAGATTGACAAACTCACTTGTTTAGAACTGCTTTTTGTGTTTCGTTTGTTGTTGTCCCCCGCACCCTCCGATTCGCGTGGTTGGCTACGTACGGCGTGGAAAAAGTTCACCGTACACGCACGCATGGTGGCGGCGACGTATGCCGAGCGGGGAACGCGTTTTCGGTTCAAACCAAGCGGCCGCCCTGGTTAATATCGCCGAGTGTGTCCATTCATTAACTGTAAAATCCGAGCCGCCTGCGTTTCGCGGTGGACGTCAAAAATCGTGTGACGTAATTCACAGGAGTGGGCCGTCGTGTGACACAGGCGTTGTCGTCCAATTATTCTTTTTTAAAATAATGGCAGACGAATGCTCACTTGCAGGCCTGTGCTGAGCCACCTTTGTGTCGCGCAGGGACAGCTGCCACTGGAGGTGCCCATCGAATGTTGGAGATGAGACGCAAGGCCTTGTTTGAGTTGTAAGAGTAATTTAAGCAAGCGACGTATACATTTAAGATCATTTTTGATTTGAAGCTTTCTTGACTGCAGGAATTCATACCATTTGGTTCTTTCGGTAGATAGAAAAAATAATAATTCAGATCATTACTATAATAGCGGGTGGTACCTCGAATTACTAGGGTTGGCTCAGTGCGGTGCGAGTGAAATTCAACACACGTACGTACACACGTGGTATTCATCGATTAAATAAACTTATTCTTTTGGGCACACTGGCGTGTCGCGTCGTATTTCGAAAAGGGCACTTCACCCTGCTCCGTCTCCGCAAAGGACACCTCCCGGCCGAAAGGGGTTAAATCGCGGGCCTTTACCGTCCAGTTGAGGGTGCCGTTGTCCCGTAGGCGGATCTGGTATTCGAGCGTTATCCACCCGCTGCGGATGTCCGGCTCCGGCGGTGGCTTCCAGCGCAGGCGCACCTCGCCACGCTCGTTCTCCGTGGCGTCCTCCCCCGCGTCGTCGCCCACCAGCTCCCACGTTAGGTTCCTGGGGGGATTGGTCTGGGCTGTGGAGCACAACGCACGCACGCACGCAGCGAGTACTCGTTAAAGGCCGAGTCGACCTCGGGGGAGGCAGGCCCCGGTTTGGTTGTTCGGTCGCTCGATGTTGTCCTTGAGCCGGGTTCGTGGCGCGGAGCGGCGACCGCAGCGCCGCCGCTCCCCCGCTCCCCACCACCCGGCCGCGCGTGTGCACGCGTACACACACAAACACGCTCGCGCTCGTGTCTGTGCGCGTGTACACACACACAAACACGCCCGCGCTCGTGTCTGTGCGCGTGTGCACGTGTGTACACACACAAACACGCTCGTGCCTGTGCGCGTGTACACGTGTACACACACACAAACACGCTCGTGCCTGTGCGCGTGTACACGTGTACGCACACACAAACACGCTCGTGCCTGTGCGCGTGTGCACGTGTACACACACACACAAACACGCCCGTGCTCGTGTCTGTGCGCGTGTGCACGTGTACACACACACAAACACGCTTGTGCCTGTGCGCGTGTGCACGTGTACACACACACAAACACGCTCGTGCCTGTGCGCGTGTGCACGTGTACACACACACACAAACACGCCCGCGCTCGTGTCTGTGCGCGTGTACACGTGTACGCACACACAAACACGCTCGTGCCTGTGCGCGTGTGCACGTGTACACACACACAAACACGCTCGTGCCTGTGCGCGTGTGCACGTGTACACACACACAAACACGCTCGTGCCTGTGCGCGTGTACACGTGTACGCACACACAAACACGCCCACGCTCGTGTCTGCGCGCGTGTGCACGTGTACGCACACACAAACACGCCCTCGCTCGTGTCTGTGCGCGTGTACGCGTGTACGCGTGTACGCGTGTACGCGTGTACGTGTGTACGCGTGTATGCGTGTACGCGTGTACGCGCGCGCGGCAGGATGCGGCGAACATGCCCCGCGCGCGCACGCGTGGTATTAACGGAGTGACGAACAACAACGACAACAAAAAATTGGAGGATCGTTATTAAAATTGAAATCACTCCAACTCGGCGCCTTGCGTCCCGTTAACAAACAAAACGTGGAAGTGAAGCGCGAGGCTTCATTAGGAGCCTCGCTCGCGACGCATCTCAAGTGGCCTCCCAGCGCTGCGCAACATGCGTCCTCCAATTAAACCAACTGGCTTTGATCTACGCAACAAACTAGGTCAATTTTACTACAGTGCACAAAGGTTAGAGGCGCAGCAGCGCTGCAATCGCACACGCTCGCTCACTCCGTCGCTGCTGACGGCAAAGTCCACCGCTCAAATGCGGAGTGGTGGACTCTTCTGGTCGGCCTTCGTTGCACCGTGGGCCTTCATCAGGTAAGAGGCCCACTGAGCTGCGTAGCTCTTTTTCGGAAGCGACCTGGCCACTACAAATGATAGCTCAACCAAGTGGCTTATCGCGTGGAAATTTATAGCAGCCAAATACTCTAAACGCACGTTGATTTTAAATGTGGAGGGAAAAATACACGCGACCGCGGGTAGAGAGAGATGCAAACTCCAAACATACACCGGGCGTCAGGGTCAGGATCGAAAACTCACGACCTCCTGTATGCGAGGTGAGGTAGCTAACATCTCACCATCACGGCGCCCAGCTGGACGTTGGAAGAGGTGGGAGTGCCCACGTTTAACCCCACCACACGCACGCTGCCATTCATCGAAGGGGCGGGGGCAGGGGGTAATAAGAAACTCATGCCCACTGTTTCAACTACCCTGCCGCAGGGAGGTGTTGGGAGTTGAATTGGCGACCTCTGGCTTGCAAGTCCAGGAGTGGCTGCCCATTACGATAATGCATTTTTTAAAATAAGGAATGCAACGATGAACTCTCGGGTAACTGGCAACGCAGAAACAAAGTAACAAACTTTCAACAATGCAACTTCAGCCCCGATGATGGTGCTTGGAAGGCCGAACGGAGTTCACAAAGAAGCGACGAACGAACGCCTCCTCGTATGTATGTCCTGTGCGTTGAACTTCTTTCGCACCGTACGTAGGCAACCGTGCGAATCCTCGTGACAGATGCGACGATGCGGCGACTGTGGTCACCACCCAGACCAGGACCATGGGGACATCTAAATAAAGATTCTAATTCTGATTCTGATTCACCAATAGGAAGGAGGAGGCATCATCACAGTGATGCGTCACTCCGCTACTCCCGATACAATCGAGGCCAATACACTCACACAGAGATCTATAGATGCACATACAGAGCCATACATTAACATAGAGACCCAAAGACTCACATAGAGACCCATAGACTTACACACAGAGTCGTACACTAACATAGAGACCCAAAAACTCACACAGAGACCGATAGACTCACACAAAGACCCAAAGACTCACATAGAGACCCATAGACTTACACAGAGACTCATAGACTCACACAGAGACCCATAGACTCACACAGAGACCTATAGACTCACACAAGAGACCCAAAGACTCACACAGAAATAATCGACTCACACAGAGACCCGTAAGGCACTTTCACTCTGCTGCTCCTGACGCTATCATCTCTCTTGCCTCTTGCTCTGCAATGTCTGCACTACGTTTTTTAGGATCGCTTGTGCTACGTCTACGACCGATGAACACCTCGTCAGTTGTGCAATAAACCTTGAGGACCCTGCTGCACTCGTTCTCCCGAAAGTCGACTTTTTTGTCCTTTTTGTTGCCACTGCTGCTACCGCTGCTGCTGCTGCTTCTGCTGCTGCCACTGCCGCTGCTGTAGCTCGCGCAGCACTACGGACCTCCCATGTAAAACAACTGGGCAAACGGCGAGCCGGGACCATCGTCGTCTGTGTAACAAAAATAAAAATAAACTCGAAACTATTCGGACTGTGTGTACAATTATAGCTGCTGCTGCTCGACATCAACATCTTGCCGCACGAAGGACGATGGCACGGATGGTCATCTGGCGGCGGTGAGCGTCTGTCGTAAATCACGAAACCGCGGAAACCACTGAATGCAGCCTCCGAGCGCTTCTAACGTCGGCCGCGAGCCTCAACAGAACCCACCGCTGCCGCCGCCGCCGCCATAGCGGCAGCTGCGGAACGAATCAAGCGCTCGTGCGGCTGACGAGATGGGCAGGAGGCGGCCAGCACCGGAACTGGGCCCAGCGCTGGGACCAACACTGGCCCGGCACCGGGACCAGTGCCAGGAGCGGCACCGGGACCGGCACCGGCAAACGACCAGCAGCAGATTGAGGCCGCCAAGTGGAGACGCAGAGAGTGGATCGCTCCGCGTTGTTCTGCGGTTTGGGGATGAACCATTGGAATAGCAGAGGAGAGCGAGCGAGCGAGCGAGCGAGCAGGTGTGGCGGCTTCGTGGACTTAATGAGCGAAAACAACCTCCATTTCTTTTGTCCCACGGGGCCTTCGAGATTCACAATAAACCAGACGACACAAATAACCAGAACCCACTCACGGATTAAAGCGCCCTGTATCTGATCACCTGCTCGGGGCGGGGGGGGGAGTTGGATTTGAAAGTACAAACACAACTATATCACCCGCTTCTCCCGTGGAGCCCGTTTAAAGACTGTTGGGGCAAGTCCTGTTCGGGAGGCCCATACGAGCACAACAGAGTTAGCGAGTGCCTATGAAGGCCCGCATGGCACACAGGGGGCGGCTGGTGTTGGGCAGCACCCACAAGCACATGCACGCACACACAAGGATTCAATGCATAGATGCATGCACACAGGTACCCACTCATGGATACACTGAATACAATGATCCCCAGTGTAGACTGCACAGGCTGTTGGGACAAGTGCTGTTAGCGAGCGCCTGTTAAGGCCGGCACGGCAGCGGGAGTGGATGGTGTGGCGAGAACCATGCCCCGTTGCATTTTTCTCCCCAATGCTGATGTTTGGCACACAGCAGCGTATACTCATTTAAGGCTGAGGCGACCTATAGGGAGGCCCAGGACCGGTTTCAGATCATTGCCACTGATGTTAGCCGTGGTCGGCAATAAGTGCTGTGTTCATGGCACAGCGCGCTAACCACTGCGCCACCGCTCCCTGCGGCGGCCTGCAAGGACACGCGCGCGCGTACAAGGACGCACACAGACGCACGCACCGACACACACAAACACACGCACACGCGGGCAGACTTTCTGTGACCTGTTGATTGATAACGCTGGGTGACAAGCGAAATAATCACTCGCAGATACTCCGGTCTCTGTCTTGCATTATGTTATCAACGCTCGCCTCTCAAATCACCCTCAAATCGGCTGTCTTGTTTTACAGCGCGCGCAAACGGCCGCACCGACACACACGGGTTAGGCAGCCCTCTCCCCGGGGCAACTTTACACGCCCGTCCTCTTGAACCCCCCCCCCACCCCCCCCCAATTCATTATCGTTACGCCACCCGCCACCACGCGCTGCGCACGCCCGCGGATCGGCGGTGTGGCCCTCGAGCTGCTTGAAAATCAGGGCTGTTGGCCTCGGCGAGACAGAGGGGCGCGCGGGCGGGCGTGATGGGTTTCGCACACGAGCAGCACAAACACATAAATCGTGGGACTCTGTCTGATTTATCGCCGCAACAGTTGGGGCGGCCGCTAGCCAGAGGCAGAGTCGGCGTGGTCCGTACCAATCCAAAAACGGGTAGGGAACACACAAGCCCGGGGTACGCACTACTTTCCAGACACGGCGAGGACATGTGATCCGCCGAGGGAACTGGTTCGGTTCCAACACTGAGCGCTTGCGAAAAAATAAGCTGCCGCTGTCTGGCGCGAGTAAAGGATCGGAAAAACGGCCGCTTGCTTCCGCAGTGGCCCTCCACGGTGTGCGGGAGGCCCTCATCCAGCAGTGGAGTGACGAAGAGGGCTGTGCGCGCAAATAGAGAGGGTTAAACACTGCCACCACCCGTGACAAAGTTGGCACAAACACAGGGGAAAATGTAAATGGACAGAGCAGAATTGACCGCCGAATGCACAACGGTATATATTTTTTTTCCACTCGGCAAAAACTCGAATTTTTCTGCTCGTTTTCATTGTCGCGCATCGTCTGTCCCGTGGGGCCGCCAGTGTTTAATATCTACACGGCCGACGGTCGCGAAAAACAGCGGAGCGGCAGCCGAGGAACGGAACGACGCGTCCGGGGAGGACGTCCTCCACCACCGTCGCCATCGCGGAGGAGGTGACGAGCGATGGGAGACCATCTCGCGTGCAGGAGGAGCTCGGCGAAATCGTTACTTCATGGAATCGTCGCGAAAGTGGTAGGCGGCGGTGGCCTTCATCCAGCGGCGGATTGATCAAAGCTGACGACGACGACGACGACGATCATTATATAGGTCCCACAAAATTGCGCGATCTGCAATGCATTCGTTTGGGCGACGCGTGACGCGCGCGTGCCCCGCAGGGAGTTATGTCACTTTTATGTAACCAGCGGACACTGGGCGCTATATCAACAACAAGAACTTGGCGAGAAGCCACAGCCGAGAACCGCTCTGTAAACACGGGGGGGCGGCGGGGGGAACGGACGGCGCATTCCGCGTACGACCGAGCAAAGCTTCTTCAACACAATTAATGCGCCCCCCCCCCCCCAATTAAGAACACGCGAGCGAGCGAGCGGCACCACGACGTGAATTTCGTAAAGAAAAAAAATTAACCCGTAAAAACAAAGTTTTTCACTATAAATCCCTAATATGCGTGGCATCGGTTTTATTTTATTATTCATTTCTGTTTTTCTTGAGTAAGAGTTTAATTTTTATCACATTGGTATTTTAAATTAAATAAATAAAAATCCCTAAAAAGTGGAAAATTTTGGGGAAAAAAATTCACGAAAATAAATTGTCACGCCACAACGAGTCTGTGTGCAAAATGTCAGCTCGATTGGATCACGGGAAGTGGGTTAAAAAACGACCGAAAGATTTGCACGGTCGTAAGCGCGCAAGCAAGCGCGCAAGTGAACTTAATATAAAGGATTTTAAAAAGAAGAGACGCGCCGCTCACCTCCCGCCCACCTACTGCCCCCGCCCGCCCACCACCAAGGGCCACCTCGTCATCATCATCGTCGTCATCGCGGATTGTGACGTCGTGTGGGAAAGAGGAGGTCACAGGTCACAGATAAAGAGACACGAGACGCGCACTCCTCCACCCACCTCCCCCCAAATACAAAGATTCCCCGTGTAGCCTCAACATACTTTTGGGGCAAGTGCTGTCAGCGAGCGGCACCTATGAAGGCCCGCAAGGTATACGAGGGGGGCGGGTGGCCAAACGCCACACCCGACCCCCTTTGTCTCCCCAGTGGCGGTGATTTTACACACCGCACCAGGTGCTCATTTGAGGCTGAGTCGACCTAGGGGAAGTCCAGGACCGGTTCAGATTATTGTCAGTGATGTTGGCCGTGAGCGGGAATCGAACTCAGCGGGTTCGCAGCGCAGCGCGCCAACCCGCTGCACTACCCCTCCACACCACACGCACAACCTCCACAACCCACCCCTCCCCTCTTCACGGGCTGAACCACGTGGGATGAGGCAGCCCAAACCCGTGACCCTGAACGGTCACAAACGCACAGAGATGCGTAGACACAGGCTCAGCAGTGTTCCCGATCAGAAGACCAATGTCATCACTGTCTCACTCACTCGCGTTATTTGCCTTGTGCCCCCCCCCCTCCCCCCATAACTATGAGGCAGGCGTCGTCAACAATAATGAACGATTTTCGGTGGCCACCCCCAGCCATGCCCACTAATGTCTCTATAATGTCCGACCGACAGCTGTAATCAATGGTGTTGAAGTGCAAGCACAGCAGTCATCAACAAGAAGCATTTCCATCAATGCCACCACCACCACCACCAATCACCACCACAATGAACATGAACAGCTCACCACCACGAACCACAAACATCAATACATCCCCACCATCACGGACATCAACACCTCCCACCATCACGGACATCAACACCTCCTGCCACCACCATCACCAACTACTAATATCAAGTTCATCTGACCCATCAGCGCCACAAATCGCAACCTCCAACAGTAACCATCAACCGCTCTCACCACCACCTTCTACCACCACCACCACCACCTCTTTCGGCCACAAACACTTAAACAGCGAGCCCACCTTCACCGCTAACATTGCAACCGGCTTGTAATGATCACAATATCAAAGGCAACGGGCTTATAGCATGGCTTTGTTGAAGGTAATAAAGCAATGGTGGTAAAATATTTGTCTGCTCAATATTTGCCTCAATGACACTCAGCTCCAGCCAAGGCTACCGACACACAGGCAAAGTTCCCCCATACAGGCTACACGGGCTGCCGGGGCAAGTGCCACGAGCAAGCGGCTTTGAAAGGCCGACGCGGCGCGCGAAAGGGCTGGTGTGTGGCTGGGAGAAAAGAACACCCACACCCGGCCGTCTTTGTCTCACCCTCCACTGTTAGCACCGGTTCACTTCGGTCAGTCGCCCACCAGCGATCAGTCACCTCCTGATCACTCTTCTATCGCTACTATTAATACCATGGCTACAGCTACCGTGAACTTCAATCACAAACTCGGTCTACTTCACTCAGTTTTGTCTCAACCTGATCACTGTGTTGAACCACCAAAACACTGCAGGTCTAACACACACACTCACCCACTCACTCACCACACTGCAAGTCTAACACACACACACACTC